TCTAATGAATGAATGAATAAATAAATAAAGCTGCAAACCTACTTTTGCTTTATCGACGTTCACCACAGAAATCTCATGCTCAGAGTTCTGAGTCTAGGACCCAGGTTGAAACATGAAATGGCTGAGCGATTGAGAGAGTCTGGCGAAGCGAGCTATGATGCAGCAGCAGCAGCAGAACTGGAAGCAGGAGATGGCCAGTTCCACTGTGGGCCTGATGGAAGGCCTCCGGGGGCCTGATCCAGGCCCCGGGCCGCATATTTGACACCCCTGCCCTAGCATCTAACGAACGCTAACAGTCACATTGCTAGAGAAATAAGTGATGGCGAGCCTTCTCCTTCTCCTCGGTCAGCAACAAAGACCGAAAGGTCAACAATAAAGATTGTGAATACATGCATATGAGATCAAGGCAATTTCTACAAAGAAGACTCTAACTGACCAATAGAAAGGTTACAGGTCAAAACACCTCCAACAAAGTACAGGTGACATAAAGTCATGTCCTGTTTCCTAACAACTAACAGTATCAGTTAACTCCATAATGACTGAAATGTAAGCGAGTCCTAACTCCAACAGGGAGGAAATGGGTGGTTTACATTCATTGTTTATATTCTTTTGTAAAATGAAAACAAATAATCAGTTTCTTTTTTATATAATCTATTTAATACTTTTTTAGACAAACACACACTGGGATATACAGATACTTAAGTACGTTTTTATTTTATATTTATTTTTTATTTATGCTTTCGGCTTGTATCCCGCTCGAACCCCCCAAGGGGTCTCTGAGCGGCTTACAGTTACTCTGTTATCCCTATCTATGGCCACATATAGTCAGGGGTGGGGACTGCCCTACCAGCACCCAATGGAGGAACTTGCTATTCTTGTACATTGTAGCATTCCAATCTGGATTAATAACTCAATTCATTTCCATTATCCTTTCCCCATCCAGTAAATTAAAGCACATATTACAAGGTTTTATACATTACTTTAACAACAAATTTTATAGTAGATCTAAATTACAATTCCTTTAGTATCAATAATGTTACTATCAAACCGGCTTCACCTTAATAAAGCCATTCTAACTGCTTAAGTAATTTAAGTAATTTCTCATTCCCTGTTTAAGCTGCTTTAAAGATAACAATTTATATTTATTTATATCCACCCTTAAAATTTTTTGTCAGCTTTTTACTTTTCTAAAAGACTCTCTTTACTTTGGGGGGGGGATGTAGCTCAGTGGCAGAGCATCTGCTGGTGTGCACAAGTTCCCAGGTTTAATCTCCGGCATCTCCAATTAAAAGGATCAGGTAATAGATGATGTAAAGTCCTCTGACTGGGTCCCTGGAGACCTGCTGCCAGTCTCAGTAGACAAGACTGAACTTGATGGACCCGGGGTCTGATTCAGTAGAAGGCAACTTCCGGTGTTCACTTCACGTGTACCAGAGTCCTGTAAGCAGGCCGATATTAGCCCAGAGTGAGGACTGGGGCTGGGCAGGGTGGAGGTCGGGTGGAAGATGAGGCTGAGAGACAGGCGCTTGCTTAAGACTGTGTGATGAATTCGGGAATGTGGTGAGATTTGAACCCAAGGCTTCCCGCTCATAGCCGATGCCCTCCCTCGCTGGACCGCACCAGCCCGACACAGTTTGCTGTCACCGTTTATTGAGACCAGCCCTGGTTTTTCTCTCTCCACGGGCGCAGCTGACTCGGAAGAACTACATTGTGAAGAACCTGAAGCGCTTCCGGAAGCAGCTGGAGCGGGACTCCGGGAAGCTGGAGGCCATGAAATGCGACTTCTTCCCCAAGACGTTTGAGATGCCCTCGGAATACCACCTGTTTGTGGAAGAATTCCGCAAGAACCCCGGCATCACCTGGATTATGAAACCGGTAGGGGGGCCGAGGGTATGCAGACTTGGGGGAGGGTATGCAGACTGCCCTCTGCAAGGGCGGGGCGGGGGGCGGGGAACCAGCCTGCCCTTGGGAGTGGGAATAATAATGTGGCCAAGGACTGAAGATAAGAACGTAGGAACATAAGAGGAGCCAATGTGGGATCAGGCCAATGGCCCATCCAGTCCAACACTCTGTGTCACACAGTGGCCAAAAAGACCAGGTGCCATCAGGAGGTCCAGCAGTGGGGCCAGGACACCAGAAGACCCCCCACTGTTTTCCCCCCCCCCCGAACTCCAGAAGCCGTCCCACTCTTGCCCCCCCCAAACACCAAGAATGCAGAGCATCAGTGCCCCAGACAGAGTGTTCCATCAAGACCTTATGGCTAATAACCACTCATGAATCTCTACTCTTAAGAACACAAGAGAAGCCATATTGGATCAGGCCAATGGCCCATCCAGTCCAGCTCTCTGTGTCACACAGTGGCCAAACCTAGGTGCCATCAGGAGGTCCACAAGCAGGGCCAGAACTCAAGAAACCCTCCCACTGTTGCCCCCCCCCAGCACCGAGAATGCAGAGCATCCCTTGCCCCAGACTGAGAGTTCCTATCTGTACCTTGGGGCTCATAGCCACTGATGGACCTCTGCTCCAGATGTTTCTCCAATTCCCTCTTAAAAGAACATAAGAGAAGCCAGTGTTGGATCAGGCCAGTGGCCCATCCAGTCCAACACTCTGTCACACAGTGGCCAAAAACATCAGGTGCCCTCAGGAGGTCCACCAGTGGGGCCAGGACACTAGAAGCCCTCCCACTGTTGCCTCCCCTTGAAAGCACCAAGAATGCAGAGCATCAGGCTGGAAAAAGACATGTTTTGGATATAGAAGGTCTCAGGTTTAGTCTCCAGGGTCTGTGGTTTGACTGAGCTCAGGTAATGGAGCTGGATAAAAACTTTCTTACTGTATCTGCTTGTTCATTTCATATATACCCAGCCTTTCTCCCCAAGGAAGACCCAAAGCAGCTTACCTCGTTCTCCTCTCCTCAATTTTATCCTCACAACAACCCTGCGAGGTAGCCGAGGCTGAGAGGGTGTGAGTGGCCCAAGGTCACCCAGCAAGCTTCCACAACTCAGTGGTGACTCGAACCTGGGTCTCCCAGGTCCTAGCCCAATGCCCTAACCACTGTGCCCCACCTTTCCTCGTTGCTCAAGGCCTTTTGCAAACGGTAATGAAAACATTACAGATTAAAACCAAATGTGTGTGTGTGTTTGCTGAGAGCCAGTTTGGTGTAGTGGTTAGGAGTGCGGACTCTAATCTGGGAGAGCCGGGTGTGATTCCCCACTCCCCCACTCCTCCACTTGCAGCGCTGGATGACCTTGGGCAAGGCATGGTTCTGTCAGAGCTGTTCTCTCAAGGGCAGTCCTGGAAAGAGCTCTCTCAGCCCCACTTACTTCACAGGGTATCTGTTGGGTGATAGTGGGGAGGGGAAGAAAAGAAGAAGAAGAGGAAGAGGAAGAAGAGATTGGATTGATTCCCGCGCCCGTCACTACCCAGAGGAGTCTCAGAGCGGCTTACAAACTCCTTTCCCCTCCCCTCCCCACAACAGACACCCTGTGAGGTAGGCGGGGCTGAGAGAGCGCTTGACAGAAACTGCTCTTTTTCAAGAACAGCTCTTATCAGAACTACGGCTTGCCCAAGGTCATCCAGCCAGGTGCAAGTGGAGGAATAGGGAATCAAACCCAGTTCTCCCAGATTAGAGTCCGCACACTTAACCACTACACCAAACTGGCTCTCAAAGTGAGGGGAAAGTGCCACCCAAAACCACATTCAGATACCCTGGGGCAATGTCATACTGATTGCGGCGTCACCCCTGAACGGCCATAAATCTATGCAGAAGGTACCATAAAACCCGAGGGTCAAGGGAAGCGAGAGCAGCATGCAATGCAGAGGGGGATGTGTGTTCCAAGATGGGTTTGGTAAAACAACGGAGGGAAAAGCCAATGCAGAATCGCCCACACACTAAATAATCCACTTTCAATTCACTTTCAGTGCACTTTCCAACTGGATTTGACTGTGTGAACTGGCAAAATCCAGTTGGAAAGTGCATTGAAAGGGGCTTGAAAGTGGATTATTTAGTGTGTGTGACCACAGCCTAAAAGAGACTTTCTAAAGCCCAATAAAACAGACGCCCAGTGGCGTCTTAAAGACTAACAACATTTATTCCAGAATACTGTAAATCAGAGGTCACTTCCTCTGATCTAATCTTAAACTGGAATACATTTTGAACAAAGTTTGAGTCCAGTGACACTTTTAAGATCAACAAGGTTTAATTCGTGTGCCACGAAAGCTGATTCCCAGAATTAACCCTTGCTGGTCTTTTTAAAGGTGCCACTGGACTCAAACTTTGTTCCGCTGCTTCAGGCCCACACGCCCACCCACCTGGGATACGTATTGCTAGTCTTTAGGATGCCACTGGTCTCCGGTTTTGTTCTGCCGCCACGCACTGGCACGGGCTACCCCAAGACACGACCGGACTTTTGCTTTTGGTCCCTATTCAAACCAAGTCTGCATCTTCTCAGCAGCTTGACCTTACTGAAGTTAAGGGCCCCGAGAAGGTGAAGCGTCACCACCTGGGTGCGTAATGTAAGCAATCTTGGGATGCATTCACAGAAGCACTGTGTCGAGATCAGGGGAGGTGGTAGTTTGTTGGGATTCTGAGATTCAAGATCGATGGTCATTTTGCAAACACAAGAGTCACATTAGTAAAAGAAATATATCTTTACTACAAAACAAAATAAAGCATGGGTAAGGTACTTTGGATAAAATAAATAAAATGAAAGCTAAGAGCTACATCTTTCTTTCTTTCTATCTTCTAGAGGGGGCTTCCTGTCCGCTTCACACAAAGAGCCATAAACCTTGTGAATATAATAATGCTAGATTTCCACAAGCAAGTTGTTAGTTGACCAATACAAAGGTTACAGGTCACCTCATTAGACTAAACAACTCCCACAAACCTTCCCCCGTAGAATACATTATGTAACGTAACATCCTGTTTCCTAATAAACAACACTTAACGCTGTAATTACTGAAGTGTAAGCAACTTGAAACTCCAACATAGTTCCGCTCTATTCTGTGATGGTCAGTCCTGTGTCCAGTTTTGGGCACCGCATTTTAGGAAGGATGTTGACAAGCCCGAGCGTGTCCAGAAGAGGGCAACCAGGATGGTGAGAGGGTTGGAATCCAAGTCTTATGAAGAAAGGCTGAAAGAGTTGGGTCTGTTTAGCCTGGGAAAGAGAAGGCTTAGAGGGGACAGGATTGCAGTATCTGAAGGGCTGTCATGTAGAAGATGGAGCAGATCTGTTCTCTCTTGCTCCGGATTGCAAGACTAGATCTAATGGGCGGAAATTACAAGGGAGTCAGTACCGGCTAAATATCAGGAGAAACTTCCTAACTGTCAGAGTGGTTGAGCAGTGGAACACAGTCTGCCTTGGGAGGTGGGGGATGCTCCTTCGCTGGACGTTTTCAAGCGGAGGCTGGACGACCCTCTTTCGGGTATGTTGTAGGGCTATCTTTCGGCTGTGCTCCTGCAGAGTGCAGGGGGCTGGACTAGATGACCTGCATGGTCCATTCCAACTCTAACATTCTATGATTCTAAGCAGGAGTAGATCAAAACAAATGCAGCATCTGGCTGGCCATTGGCTCCTTTCGCCCTCGACCAAGACGGAAGAGAAGCGAGATTTCCCCGTACGTTATCCTTGATTCCACTGGTTCACCTCCCCGCGTTATCAGGAAACCATCTGCCGTTTTGGAGGTTGGCAAGACGCTGAGCAGAGCCGAGGAAGCGCTGTGCCCTCTCCGGATGGCGGGCGAACTCCTTGACTCCTGCGCCGCCCTGCGTAATTGCCTCCAACACCCATCTGCCAGTGCGCACAGCGGGGACAGGTCATCGGCCGGGCAGATGAAGGCAGGCACCAGCCGCTCCGCCCGACTCCACCACAGATGGAGCAAATAAGGGATGGGGGTTCCTGAGCCGGGGAGAGGGAGGCAATTATGCAAACTAGCTGGTGAATTACTGCCAGGAGGATAACAGCCAGCGATTATCTAAGTCTACAAATGATAATTTGCGTTAATTGCCAGCAAGAAACCTTGCATTAAGCCGATTTGGGCCCACGTTCTCAATTAGCATGTGGGGGAAACCAGGAAATGCTAAACGGGACTAATACATCCGTATATCCGTGTATATATAATTTCAGTTGTAGGAGCCACTGTTGTGTTGACAGGTGGAAGGATGCAGGTCACAGGAGATGTGGTGGGAACGGGACTTCCACGGCACGCCGTTGAATACGTCTGAACATATAGCCCATCCCTTCGCCAGGACTTTAAGACAATCGGTGGTCATGAATTAAAAAGTAATTTTAAATACCTTCGCGGCAGAGCACGCTCAGAAAGGCTCTGCGATAGCGACTGAAAGCGACAGGACCGTTGATGTTGCCTTGCTGCAGGCAGGATTAGGCCACGAACGGCACAGAGCTATAAATCGCACATCGCCAGTTTGGCAAGCCAAAGTCCCACGTCTTATGCCCGCAATAAATTAGAATATATCGTTGTTGCTTTGTTGACGTTAGAGGATGAGATAGAGAAGAGAATCTGTAATAAGAACGTAAGAGAAGCCACGTTGGATGAGGCCAGTGGCCCATCCAGTCCAACACTCTGTGTCACACAGTGGCCAAAAAGACCAGGTGCCATCAGGAGGTCCAGCAGTGGGACCAGAACTCCAGAAGCCCTCCCACTGTGGCCCCTCCCAGCACCAGGAAAACAAAGCATCACCCAGACAGAGTGTTCCATCTAGATCTTGTTGCTAAAAGCCACTGATGGACCTCTGCTCCATATGAGAACATCAGAAGAGCCCTGCTCGATCAGGCCACTGGCCCATCCAGTCCAACACCCGGTGTCACACAGTGCCCCAAACCCAGCTGCCATCAGGAGATCCACCAGCGAGGTCAGAA